TTGTATGTATGTATGTGTGTATTAGTTGTATAAGAGACTCAGTCCGGCTGTCTTAATCGTCAGACTGCGTAAACAAAGCAGTGACGTGTCGTAAGGACAAGGACAGATTCTCCTTATTATCAGCACGCTACTGAGCAAAGCTGTTTGCGTTACGACAGTAATTTATATGAAATGAAAGCAAGAACATGCGTTGTTCGAGCCACGAGCGATCCTGAACTCCTGTACGAGGCCCTAGGGCTAAAAGAATGCGTGCGATTGAATACCGCATACATATTCGGTCGTTGCTCGATCATCACTGGTCCACTGTCGTGTTGCTGTCATCATCGGTTTGCCCAGGTTAATGACATTTACGAGACGCGTCACACATGACCTTTCCATTTCATCCTCTTGGACGTGATTAGCGTAATCATATTTGGAGGACAGTACAAAATGTATCCAACTACATTGCACAAAGACTTCTGCTTTAGCACCATCGTTAGAAGTCCAGAAGCCTCTGAAATTAAGCGCTGGACGCACAGCGACAAGAGATCTGAACTGTTTCTGTGTTCCGCCTCTCACATTACATTCCAGCGAAACGAAACGAAAAACGTGTACTCTGTCCCGCTCTTCACGACCTCTCATGGTGTATTCCGAGCAGGTAAAACGAAGACGCTCGGCGAATGAAGAAGACACGCTCCAGTACTCGTATTCTTTCACGGAAAACATCGATACCCTCATTGTAATTTTGGTGCTGGCTGCTTCTCTGTGTCGCTCGTTCTTTGTAACATTCGCTCTCGCAGCGGGGCGATGCTTCCATGTCTCTTCCAACCGTCACCAAGCTTCGATGGGACTAGTAATTCAAGTGAACATGATCGCTTTATTACCTCACGCCCCTCCCGCACTGCAAGGAAACTAGGGTACCGTTTTCATTTGCACGAACTCGTGTTAATTATTCAGAATTACACAATGGCACCAATCAAGTGTATGACTATCCTCGTCACGGAAAATGACAAGGTTCCTTCAAAGGCGAAGAATATAATGGTTTCAGAATATGACATATAGAAATATGAGCTAACAACGCTACCTACACATTATGATCTTATTTTTACTGCAGTGAATTTTAATATATCACATAGAAATTAAAACTTCAATGAATTTTATCAACAGTAGTTCCACTCTAAGGACAGATACCGACATTCTTTCTGAGAATCCAATAAGTGTCTGACAGCTTAATGTATCGCAAGTGTGAGCCTAAATGAGATTTATAGCTAACAGTTAAGCATCAAATACTAAGTGATGCTTATAGTAATTTAAGACGTATGGTAGGTTGGGGGAAAAACTCCACGGATTCCTAGAGTTAGTACTAGATGGAGGTTAAAGAGTAGCATCGTGCGCCTAACGAGCGGAAAAAGCCCCGGTGTCCACCGGATACGAGGGTGGGTGGACGTCAAAGCCGGTGTCATCTCGGTGAAGAAGACAGAAGTTAACAACTTCGTCGGGAATCGAACTGCGTTAGTCCCCTGCATACTGAGGCATCCCGGCTATCGCCAAACTAAACGAAAGTAATACGAACCACTCACCAGACACGCAGAACAGAAGCTGCAGAGTTCGATGTTTTCTTCATGCTGCTTCGCTGTAGGCTACTCCTAGCGGCAATCTGAAACGAATATAACAAACCAAAGCCTCAATTAATGTTTTCTCTTCAAATAACATTGAAACATGTCTAACATACAGAGGTTGATAGAGCAGTAACTTTAATTGGAAGCAAATGATGCTTGAAGTGGTTTAATGCTGGCTTATTTCACATCTGTACTCAGCAAAAAGCATTTGTGATGATAATCATTCTTATTACCCAAGATTTTTAAAATACGACAAGAGAAACCACTGGGGTTTTAAGCTATAAAACCTTTTCTTAGACAGAACAATAACAAATCTAATCAACATTTTGCTTTTAAAATATCATTAGTGCTGTTAGGATTATTTTTATATCATTTAAAAATACAAGATTTGTATTAGAACATGAAACAAATTATCAATTAAATAACACAGTAGATGCCACAAACAGCCTGACTGATTAGAGAACCCTATTATTAGTCGGTCATTATATTTCTAAAGTTCTAGTCACGTCTAGGAATATTATCACCATAGAGCCGTCAAAATATTTTCGTATTTACATCTCGCAATCGTCCATCCAGATCTCATCAACTTTAAATAATATCTGAGCGGTAAATAAAATGTAACAAACGCGACCGATTCATTTAAATTAATATTAGGCACTGTATCGCCTTGCAATGAACACTCCAAAAAAATAACGACTTCAGAAATGTGGAACATTTTGCGTGTTCTCGGTAATATGCAAAAGGCAAGAACTGCACTGTTAACACAGCTATTCTTATGTTTAATTACAACTACAAGCTTTAAAGACGATGTCTAGTAATTTTGAAGCAGTGCGTTTCATTAAATAGTAAAAACAAATACCAAAAAACTAAGGTAATATTGCAAGATCTGCAAGATACGAAAACCATAAAGCACGTCACATGGCCTCTCGAGTCATATCCATTGTATCCGCTACCTTCTGCATGTTATAAGACACTACTTTATTTCCAACTTATAAGAAGAACAGTGCTTACAGCGTTTCACAAAAAATAACAAAAAAGGCCTTAGAAACAGTCTGAAGATGCAGATGAAGATTTTATTCAACTCTTTGTGAGAAAAATACTCTTATGCATTTCACATACCAAAATAAACTCATATTCCCTAAGAAAACGTATTTTACGGTTTATCTTATGGGACTGAATTCGAAGGTCGTCTACTATATTTAGGTCAAAGAAAAAATTGTAGGCCTGCGTCTGCCTTTCAGTAGCGGTGGAGCCGCCGTGGTGACTTGCAGGACGGACTAGGGCGGCGATCTTAATTAAGTAACATTAGTTTCGGGCAGGACGCCTAAGGAGAAAAACTCCCGAGTCGAAGACGTCTAGTAAACAAAGTACAATACTCGGATATTAATACCATGGCCGTACAGAGTCCTTCCCATTTGGCAGGGCGTTAATGTGAATATCTAAATTGTACTGTTGTAATAGGCTATTTAACTCCCATATTATGACTTACACAAGCCTTATGTCAATTGTCATACCACCGTCACCTGTGCTTATACCCCAAGAAGCTTCACTGCATCGTGTTAAACTTCCCACCACAGTGAAGATGACTACCAGACTACACGGCGTAACAACCCCCGAAACACAGACATTTTTCAAAACTCAAATATACCCTTATCCTATATTCAAAAACGGGCGATTTTAACACCACTCAGCACCGTTTTTCCTGAGACGCTAATACATTTTCTCACCTAATCATGAAATTCTCCATTACTTGTAAAAACCAAAAGGTACATTACTTTTTCCGTAAGGGCTCGCCACTGGTCCGAATACAGAATCAAAAGATCCATTCTACACCCTCCTACATGATTTATCTAAGAACGATACTAATATTATCCTCCATCTATGCCTAGGTCTCGTCCCTTTTCAGTTTTCTCGGAACAAAACAAAACGAAAGCTTTAAATAAGAAACCAAAGGTCGAGATGACCCGCACCATCCGAGTCAGTGGGTGTCTACTTCATTATACAGGAAGAGGGGTCAGAGTTGATGATATTGCCCTGAACACCTCGACTACAGATGAAACTGACGAGTTCAAGGTGGAAAGAGTTTTAATGAGTAAGTAAAATGTAAAAGTTCTGAGATTCTTGAAGGCCGGTGCTTCATCATCCACAAGAAAACATGAAAATGTAGTCTCTTTAAATAGATATTATGTCTATACGACACTCAACTTTGTTGTTAAGGCTTAATACTAAGATATTTATACCATAGTAAGGCATAAGTGTAAAATAACACTACTTTTAATAGAACAGAAAGACAGATGCGTCTGCTGCCCTTAATAACATTACGTGTGTAAACAGAATTATTCTCTTTCTGAAACTACACATGAGCAATCCATATTTCATAACCATCTCCATGGCTCGGTCTTTTTTGACAAGTTCATAGACACTGAGCTCGCAAAGAAATTACGCTATTTATGGAATCTGAAGTTTTATTACGGCGTTCTTTCCTGAGCCAGATTAATCTAATCCACACTCACTTTTTCCAGTTTAGGCATATTGAATATCAACTTTAACATTAACCCAACAATATTCAGAAAAGAATACAAATCATGAAGATCTTAACTACCGATATTTTCCATTCCCTTTCAGCTCATCTCTTAGCCCCAAATATGTATCTTACTCCGTATTATTTAACGAATTACATTCTTAACTAACACGCATAGACTTATGGAAAGTGGAGGTACAACTCCACGAATTCGTTCGTAACCTCAGCATCATAGACTTATGGAAAGTGGAGGTACAGCTCCACGAATTCGTTCGTAACCTCAGCACTAGATGGTGATGGTGTTATATTCAAGCTCCGACCGCTTTACCCCTAGGGGATAAAACACTACGCCGTTAGGTTAGGAGGCTGAATGGGACCAAGAGCCGGTCTGGACTTTGCAAAGAAAAAATCATGCCCTGCCAGAAATCAAACCTGGGTCGTCCAACCCGCTGTACCTTATTTCGTTTTATTTGGACAACAGAACTCGGAGAGCCTTCCAAGTCTATTACCAATACGCAGGCTTACATATACCACCTACTATTCTTAATCCTTTTAGAGACACTAATATCCGATTTGCTAGTCAATGAATTTCCCTCGTTTAATAGAATCCAAAATTAATTATCGTGTTCGCAACACACCGCCACCAGACAGTACACTGAGTTAGATTAATCTAGTCCAAATCCTCACTATTAATAATTTTAAGAACCATGTAGGTAGTATACTATACTTTCTACGCCTTCGTGTTGCAAACATCACCTTCCCTTGAGGTCTTCTGACTGACATTTTGTAGGTCTAGGCATTATTTGCCTTTTGGCCTATACATACAGTGATACCCTAAGACACAGTCCACATGAAAGTCTCATAATTCGTGCCTACCCGTGAAAATCCCACCCCCCGCCTCTGAAACAATAGTAATACCACGATAATTAATTCCTCACTATCCTCAGACAGGGTAATGCGACAGGCGTGGCCGGCCGTCATTGCATGACACGGTTTTAATTGGTCCCATTTCGTCTCATCCCAGCCTCCCGCTCAGAAACCAGGTCGGATCAGTGATACGGAGTGAGATTAGATCCTCACTTAATTAAGCATGTTTCATTACAATGCTTTGCAATAGCAGGCCATAACTTAGGGTAAACTCTGTCGAGACTTCTAGTTCTTGTTATTGGCAATCATAAATCGTGGGATAGGAGTTATAATAAATGCATGGATTTAAGAAAGCTGGTTACAGGCATTCTGATGAGTTAATATGCTAGTTGCAATTATGTGACTCAATAACTAACTGTGAATGTAAAATAATGTAGTCATTCATCAGGGCAAATGATGATAACGACAGCAAAGACCTGTGAAAAGTTGGCAAACTTCTTCCAGACTACGCGGCGCTACAACTCAAAAGACAGCCATATTCAAAAACAGAGAAGTCGGGCTATTTTATACTTTACTTATTTGTAACCTTATTTCTAATCTGGAATACTGAACACTGCATGCTGGATACTACGTGGTTCAGGCCTACTGAAAAGAATATTAGGCTATACACAGCACCTTTATACCCGGACAATATTCGAAGCTGCAACGTGAGTTTCTTAACTGTATATTACGTCCAGAAGGAACAAGGAACGGCTTAATAAAGTCCACAACATTTGGACAGAAGATGCCTTTGTACGTCTAGATGCTGAGGCAAATGAGTTTACTGCCGAAACAACAACACAGAATGGGGAAATAATCCCCGAGGCCACACGCACCTCGATATCCCTCGACACAGAAATCTGATTCGACAAAGAGAGTTACAAGACCAGCAGAGGAGATAGTTGAAGAGCTCCGAAGAACAAAGCCACGCGAGGGATTCGTATTCCACTGGATAAACCTGTTTAAAAGAAATACGCGTAAGGGAGCACTGCCAATGTAAGCCCATACAGCATCTACGTAATTTACAACTTATTAACAGACATTTTTCTTTAAATATGAATTACAGGTACCTTTGAATGTTTTTGAAGATGGTATGTTGTCACGAAAATGACTATTATTTCCGGTAATGTCCGTCATAAGATTTAAAATCCGATGTTACTAAAACTGTTTCCGTCATGAGATAGCAGGGAAGAAATTTCCAGCTCAAACAGGTCCAGAGATCGAGACTAGCTCTATCTTGTGGGTCCCTCTGGGCAAGAAACTTCCTTCCGTGCTAAATGACGATGAAGTTAGAGACTGTAAGATTTGAGGTTTTCACAGCGGTGAGTATGAAGATTTCTGATCATCGCCCTGATGACAGAGGCAGTATGACCTCTGAAACGTTGGTAACATCGACCAGACTACACAGCGCAACAACCCAGAAGACAGAAATCTTCATACTCATCGCCCCGATGATGGAGGCAGTATGACCTCTGAAACGTTGGTAACATCGACCAGACTACACAGCGCAACAACCCAGAAGACAGAAATCTTCATACTCATCGCCCCGATGATGGAGGCAGTATGACCTCTGAAACGTTGGTAACATCGACCAGACTACACAGCGCAACA